TTAAGGTTAGTTTAAAATATATTGTGCTCTTCTTTATGATGGGTCTACTACCATGGTGGCCCATATCATCGTTCGATAACTTTTTTCTGTGTCCAAATACAAGATGTAATTTCCTGGGTTATTCCATTTATTTATAATGAATGTTTAATTTTTTTAAGAATAAATTATTTTTGGATCTCAACAAATATTATGGGAATCAATTTAATTTTTTAGGGGAAAAAATTGACTCGTGGTCCTATGTTAATCTTTTTGAGAGACTAATATGATTCTTCTTTGAATTTGGGACCACGATTTTGACTAATTAAATCTATTTTGAATTTTAGATGGATCTCAAGTCGATTTTTTTTCTTCTTAAAGACTAAAATGAGCTCCGTAATTTTTGTGGAGTATCCAAAAGATACTATTTTTTTTTAATAACCAATAATTAATAAAATATATTATGGGAACCAATTTAATTTTTTAGGGAAAAAAATTGACTCATGGTCCTATGTTAATCTTTTTGAGGGACTAATATGATTCTTCTTTGAATTTGGGACCACGATTTTGACTAATTAAATTTATTTTTAATTTTAGATGGATCACAAGTCGATCTTTTTTTTCTTAAAGACTAAAATGAGCTCCGTAATTTTTGTTGAGTATCCAAAAGATACTATATTTTTTTTAATAACCAATAATTAATAAAATATTTAATACATACCATTTCAAAGAATGGATTCAAGGATAAGTAACTTTATTTTATATTTTTTGTTGGATATTTAGGAGACTTCAGAAGATTATTTGTTACTTTTCCCCTAAACTCTTTATGTTATACAGCGGGCCTGTGGCCCAAGATAAATTAAAACAGGAGGCAGTTACACATAGTAATACAGACATCAAAGCCATGTTTGTCCTTTGGGCTTTTTTTTTTTTTTTAATGATATTATCCAATGATTACAACAAAATATCAAACATTTAACAATACTTCCCAAAAGTTAACCCAAATCAAAATAACAAACCTCGAAAAAGAATTAGTTAACAGTAAGCAATTAACAGAATCATAACATTAATTAACCATTTACCAATTATTCAACATGATTTATCCATTGTCGTCAATTTGTTCTTTTTGGCTTGTTTGGGAATTTGGAGGGAAGAAAACAAATTCAAGAGAGAAAAAGAGGAAGGAAGGGAAATTCGTTCGTTTGGAAGTTAAAACCCTCCAGATTAGGAAAATTTTAATTTTAAAAATAGGCAAAGTTTTGAAGGTTTTTGTGAAAAAATTTAAATCTTTCGTTTCACTTTTTTAAACTCAGAAGCAAGGAAAGAGATTAATAAAACATTTTCTTTATTTTCCTTTCTCTTTTAAAACTAACTCTTAAACAAGCCCTTTAGATTTAATGTGTTATCTTGACTTTTCAGAAATTCTCACAAAATTTACCTAGAACTTTTATTATCTAATGATTCAAATAAGGGTTTTATAAGAGTTATGTTGTAGGAAAAATGATTGTGTAATGTTATAGAGATTCGTTTTGCGTGCCTTAATTTTTTATTTATTTTTTTGTTTTAAAAGGTGTGGGACCCACAAAATGTTGTGAGTGTAGGAAAGTTTGTTGTGTTATGTTAAAGGATAAAACGAAAACCCTTCGAACAGTGTTGTAAAGAGTACCTGAACAAAGTGCAAGTTTGAAGGGATGACAAGGAAATTTATATAAAATAAAATAAAAAGAGAACTGAAGATTGTAGTTGACAACTCAATAACAGTAAGTACACGTACCCTCTCCCACGACTTCCCTTTTCACAAAAAGTGCACCCTTCTTCACCTTATATGCCTATTGTTTTGGTTACACCCTTCAAGGTTTAAGCTCAGCCAACAATGAAGAAAACCAACCTACATATGCACCCTAACTATTAAGCATCCCTTTTGCAAAATAAATGCCAATGTTTCCGGTACTGTTTAAGTTTTTTCACGCAGATTCTGCCACCAATAACTGCGTACCAAATCCATTATATATAGTTAACACTTAACATGGATGAAAAAAAAGTGAGACATGGAGCAATATATAAAGGAAAAAATGAAAATAACCGGTGCACTAAGTTCTTCCTTGAGAACATAGTGTACAAAACATTATAACGGTGTTTTCTCGAAAGAACATAGTTATAATATTTATTATAACTGTGTTCTCGCCGAAAGAACTAACTTAGTGAACTGGACCAAATATTACATCCAGTCACTGTACACTTATTAAACCCATATATAAAACATGCATCATAAAAATATGAGACATGAAGTAATAAATTGAGGCAAACATGTGGAAGGAAAATTGTGGTATTGGTGTGGCTATTAGTATTTTTATTTTTATATACACAATACTCAGTTTCGTATACTTACTTTTCCGATTGTACATAAATAGTTCTAAAACACTTTTTCATTTCATCAGCTTTTGCAGCAATAATCAACCTGAGAACCAAATGAGTATATATTACTTAATGATATATTCAGAATTATTCCAAACAATTTACTTGACAAACATGTATAGGTGATCTGATCTCCTTTATGTGAATGATCAAATTTCATCAACTATATGTAATTTATTAACATTTTTGTTTTTTAATTTTACCCGTTTCCAAACAAACATTACAATCACAATCAAACTTTTTACTTTTGTTTTTTCTCATCTCGATTTTCAATTGGACTACGTCATCTTCGAAAAAAATATGAATGTATAAGACCAATGAAATCAAGAGCCGCGCTAAGTACTAGACTAATCATCTAACTAATTCATTAATTATTCTATACAAGATCATTGTATATAAATTTATTGTTAGTGGATATAAGGTAATCATAGATTAGACACTACCCCATCGGCTTTACATTCCAAAGTGGGAATTAATTAAGGCAACATGAACGAAACGTTATACACTAACTCGATAAAAAAAATTGCCAAAGACATTGTAGTTAAAAAATTACTATAGCTAGAATTAAGTAATATATAATTAATATACATTATTCTCTAGAGGTGATGCAATATGCAGCGTCAGGATGATGAAAGCGTCACCGTGGAAGAAATGGGACATGGTGCACTTGAGTAATGTAATCGTAAAAGTGGTCCAAATTAAGATGACCCGAGAGAGTGAGATGGGGTCCACATCCATCCACATGAATGTCTGCCATGACCTTCTGACAACAACTTGCTCGCTTTTCAATTCAATATTACCACATTTCCAGTTAGAAATTACTAACGAACAAATATATATCCTAATTATATTTACAAATTTTTGCTCGTAAAATGAAGTGTTACCGTTAAAATATAATGTAATTTATAAATTTATTAAAAAAAAATTTATAAATATAATACTCCTGGTCCATATTAATAGCTATAATGATTACTTCTCTGCCACACAAAACTTCCCTCTGCAAAACAACAACATTAAGTATGTATGTGTGTGTGCAATGTGCATGGTCCATATGCATACCCTGAATTTGAAAAATGAATAAAGACACTTCCCGCAACAAATTGAAAAACAGAAAAAAAAAATGAATAATTAATATTAAAATGACTGATATATATATATATATAACATATGGTACTGGTAGCTGGTGATCATCACAATGCATGATCCATTTATTTTCACGTACAAATTATCTGGCTTCAGTGCGTATCGAAATTTAAACGTCATTAATTAGCAGATTACTTCTACAGCATGTATCTGTGTACAAATTTGTCATCAACAATATTTTATAAACAGTTTTTCAAAATTTCAAAAAATGGAAGTACGTGAAGTAAATGAGAAGGTGATATATAGTCGAGGTTTAAATTTTTAATGCATGTTTGTAATAGATGAAGATGTACGTATTGGCAAAAAGAATGAGATCATTTCACCAACAATCATTGGTTCAAGTGGTAAGACGTTAGTTTCCCTTAACAAATTAGTCGGATAATCGATGAACATGTGGATATATATATATATATATATATATATAAAATGACATCATTCCTAAGTTTTAACTTATGTTTAAAGATTATAAATTAATAAGATTTACAATATGATATTTTATTACTTTCTATATCACCACTATAGCCATCCTCTGTTGGTTCTAATGGTCTTGGTCCTCTTGGACTAAATTTTTCTTCAACGTGTATCCAAAAAAAAAAATCTTCAACGGAGGAGATTGAAATGACACTCTCTCCTTTTATTTATTATTTACTTATTTGTTTTATGAAATATTTATTTTTATTTATAATCAGCACAAAATGTTCATATTATTCAATTTCCCTTTTGATCCCATTTTTTGCTCCATTAAGCATTCACAATTTTGTTAGTTTCAAAATCATCTTTAATTAGAGAATAATTAACAATCTCCCCTTCGAGCGATTATTTGATGGTCCGGGAGTACGATGCTCCCGGCAAAAAACAGAAAATAAAAAGGACGGGAAGGAAAATATAAAAAAAGATAAGGGTTTAAGAATACTTTTTTTTACCAAAAAAGGTAAAGGAGCACAAAAAATTTAGTGGGCCAGATGTATATTAAAATTTTCCCTCCCCTTCATGAAAATTTTATGCATCCAATCTTTAGTTGGTTTGAATTTGGAGATGTGTGCCTTAACTTCTTTTCTTACATCGTTTCCCCCTCACCAGTTAAAGTTGTCTTAAAGTCTTGAACTCTTCTTCTAAGAAGTTCATTCCAAAAGTTCATGCAGGTTCTTTTATTTCTCTTAGTATATATATACTTCTGTATAAACAAATACTCTAACTTATTTTATTACGCAGAAATTAATATATATTATCATCAATAACCAATTAAGATCGTTACTATGAGTTCCATTAACATCTGAAGCATTAAAATGAAAAAAAAAATAATTAAAGAATTAGATCAGGGGAGGGAGGGAAGGAAGAAAATCGAGATTACAATCTTAAAAGAAAAGGCAGAAAGTAAATTATCAATAATTATCACTAATCATCTTAACGAAAGAAGGAAGAATTTCTACTCCACAAAATGCATATTTAGAAGAACCAAACTTACAGATTAATTAATGTTTTGTGAATCTAAATAATAACTCAATAATTAAGATATATATCCTAATTAGATTAGAGAGAGGTACATGAACAAAGGATATATATAATCCCATTCAATCACGAATGTCATATATATAGCATCGGGAGCAATCAACCTTTTCATTACTATAGGTTGACTGCTCATGATGTTATATGATGATCCACGCAAATTTCCTTCACATGAAAAAGGATTGATGCATCTTAAAATCCACTGCCGTATGCAGGTGCCCAGTAATCAGCCCCATTTTCGCTTCCAACATGGTGAGTGCAAGACACAGGGACTAAGCACAACCCTCTACTCCTCAAATCCTTTGGTTTTTCTTCTGCAACCTGGTTATTATTTTCATACGTAAATAAATAAGAACCATGCAAAAAACGTGATAGTTTCTATACCCATTTTTTGCATAATTGTAATGAAACTAATGGTGATGATGATTAATAGTAACTAACTAGAGTGATACTTCTTAAAACTTGAAAAGCAACAAGGAGTCAAGTAAAGGAGAATACTAATGAAACTTTTAGTGGGACAGGCTTTGTGTAAAAAAGAAAGAATACCTGGTTTGGAGCTCCCTTTCTTTTCAGGCCATTGTCATTCAACAGCTAGATAGGAATAAAAAGAAAGAAAGAAAAGTATTAATTAGTAATTTCACTTCTCTGTGAAGTCTGAACCTTTCTTTGACTTCAAATGAACAATGCAGCCTCATCATATATGCTTTAAAGGATGTTATAAAAAACTGAGAAACCTTGTTGTTTTAATGGCTTCTTTCAATGGATTAAATGTTGAAATAATTGTAAAGAGGCTCTCCTAATTTGATTCTAATGAATTGATGGATCCAATAAAGCATACCTGACCGGGTTCCTCAGGAAATACAGAATTTCTTTCTCCATGTACCTGTTTGGAAAATAAAATAAAAAATAAAAAAGAAAGAAAGAAACATTCCCATTAACTATGTATTCTAGTACATAGAATATAGGTCATTTTTGTCCTTCTCAAACTTGTGGCGTAAAAAGTTCTTGTAAGAGAGGAGAATTTCTTGAAACAGTGGCAAAAGTGTCACTGTTGAACAAAAAAAACATACCAAAATGTTACGCTAAAAGTAAATTTTGTCAAAATGCCACGTGACATATTTCGCTATACTGCGTAGCAAAATATGTGTGCAAATAATTCGCTACACGGTGTAGCGAAATATGCCGCGTCAGAATGCACAAAACCAAAAATGCCACGTGTCAGACAGGGAGAATTTCGCTACATTGTGTAGCGAAATTCTCCCTGTGTGACACGTGGCATTTTTGGTTCTGACGTGGCATATTTCGCTGCACCGTGTAGCGAAATATTTTGAACACATATTTCGTTACACAATGTAACGAAATATGCCGCGTGACATTTTGGCAAAATTTATTGTTGGCATGGCATTTTGGTGTTTTTTTTTTCCAACAGCGGCACTTTGGCCACTGTCCCAAATTTCTTTATCACAACCGTTCAGTGCATTGATATATTATAAGTACTATATATTTCGGAGAATATATAATTATAATATTAAACTTAATTTTTTATTTATTTTTCAAACTTTAATATTATAATTATGTAATTTTTAAAATATATAATTATAATATAACCGTTGCAACTACTACCAAAAATAAATTCGGTAAGAGAGAGAGAGAAACTTTGGGAAATGGGTACTCACATACTGTTGATTCCTCATGTTTTTTGATGCATTGTCCAAGTAAGGAGAGCTGAGTGCCTGCACCAAAGGAGGGGAAAAAAGAATAAAATTTTATAACTCCCATGACTAAAGAATGTTTTGGAGAGAAACATCAATATATTTGTGAAACTTTAACTGCATGCTCTCACTGACTCTGAATAGCTTGCAGAGTATATAATATATATGTGGGGGAGAAACATTACCTCAATTTGACCCTGCAGGAATTTGATATATCCAATGGCTTCTAACAAGACAGAAGCTGTGTCAGTCTGCAAAAGTGAAGAAGCACATCACACAACACGAAGGGTCATCTTTCTCTTTTCTTTTAAGGTTAAAAGTGAAATTCCAATCAATGGCAAAAGATCATAAAGTGTTACACATTACTTTTGGATCATGGAAGGGTGGAAAATTAGAACTGTTCTTGTGAACTTGTAAACCAAATTACACAAAAGAGATTGTAATGGTTTATGGTTTTGTATGGTGTGTTTTTCTTATGTATTGTTTATTTGATTACCTTTCCAAACGGGGAAACTAACTGGTGAAGAGCTGTTATTCTATCACCTAGCTTCTCCTTCCGCACCTTCAGAGGTGGTTGGCTTGAAGATGGTTGAACCCTAGCCTTCTTATTACACACTCCAACAGTGGATGTGCTATTACACTAGAGCACAAAAGAAAGAGATAGATATATGAAAAATCAATCTGAATAACAACATATATACGTTGAAGATCAGATCGTTTACTTATATGCTTATATATAATATTAATTAGAAGTAGTAGTTTGGATGAGAAAAAAAGAATAAGTAAAAGGAACATCTCTCTTACCTCAGATGTTAGATCTGCAGGTAGTTGATTCTTCCTATGATCTGCTTTGTTATAAGAGAAATCCAATATGTTATTACTACTCAAGTTAGTGACACAGGACCTAGGGGAAGAAACTGGCACCATATGTGACCAAGATGACCCAGAAGCCTGAAATTCCTCACTCCCATGGCCAAACAAATTGCCACTTCGGGAAACTTCTTGCTTTATTACATCATGAATAGGAACTCTTGAAGATGGATTATGTATTTGGCCATCCCAGTTTTCCAACTTTTTTGGTTGAAAATGATTGAAACCCATTCTCTCTTCTTCCCGCGGTAATCCAGTGCTGCAAAACAACACCAAGAAGCTAAAAAAGGAAACCTTGGATAACATGCATTTATAAGTTGGCACCAACACCCCCAAAAAATGCATATTAAGTCTTTGATCAACCGAAGTAAACTAACCTATCAAAATGTTTATCAAACATATACAATAACAGTGGAAGTTGTAGGTAACAGAAGTAGAACAACATATATAATGAGCTAAACAACAAAACACATAGATGTGAGAGATAAAGACTGGGGTTTACTTACAAAAGCAGTTGGCTCCATGACTGAGGAGGCTCTGGATTTTCTGTCAAAGAGTTAAAAGGAATTGAAGAAGATCCAAGCACATATTGGGAAGGGCTCAAAGATGGTAGATGCATGCTCCACCAGTTAGGGTTCCCTGCCATCATTTGCTAGCTGTAGCTGCACTAGAAAAGTCTCATGTGGAAATTAAATTTCAATTCATACCTTCAAAGTTCAAAATAACCTATAAGAAACGAAATTTTTAATCTCCTTTTCCCTTCCACTTTTCCACTTTCACCTTTGTGATATTTCCTTGTATGTGCACCCAAACAAGCCTTTGGCTAAAGGTTTGAGAGTTCTGTATTGCTTTTCTTACTAGATGTTGAAGAAAATAATAAAGCCTTGTGGGGGGGGTCTCACAGTATTTTATAGAGATGGGGTTGAGGAACTTTGCTTATGTTGCTTTCTCTTTCCTTTCTTTCATTTATTCAGTTCCTTTTTATTCATGCTTTTGCTTTATTATAAAGTAGAACAGAAAAGCTGGTGGCCATTGTTTTGAGGCTAATAGTTACAAGTGCTTAGTTCCTTAATTTGGGGTTGCACCTTGGGATTGTTTTGGGGCTAGCTAGCTAGGGTTGGGATAGAGGTAGGGCATAATATATACATATATAATAGTATTGAGATCAATGTTAGATGCTTTTTTTATTCTTTGCAGCAATAATTCACTTTAACATACTAGAATACAAAATCTAGTGGCTGATTAAAATAAGAAGACCAAAGCAGAAAATGATAGGAGTTGCCCATGAGTAAGTGCTCTCTTGCAACTACAGATACAAACCTAAATCATCAACGTGATGTTGAAGTAAGATTCTAATTAACTAACTAGCACCATTAGCAATATAGACAATTACTAACATAATTATAAAACCAACATATATAGTTGGTTATTTTTCTTTTAACATATATCATGTCATTGAGTGAATCAGATTCTACGCTCATCAGAAGAGACAAAGATGCAAATTCAAGTGTAGACATTGTTTATCTTTTATAATATTTACCTTATCGAATATATATGATTGAGGATACACTAATGAGAGATACATCATTATCAACACTCAAATAGTTCAATAAACTGAAAAATTCTTGTATAATTTCTGTCTCAAGATAGTCCTTTTGCAATCCTTTAATTTGTTGTATGATTTGGTCGAACCATATATAAGAAATGCTGCTTCATTCAAAACAAGCTACAGGTTCAAATTGCCCAAACTAAAAAGATCTTCATGATTTACCTAATTATTTTAACTGCCACCAAAACAATTATGTACGGAAGACACACAAGGGACGGAGACCCTACAAATTCCAATCTTTTGTTTTTTGTGTCTTTGTTACTAACTAGTGGGAGAGAGAATGACAGGCTGAGTAACTAGTGTTTCTTATTTATGATGAAAATATTTTATCGTTAGGCACTGTTTACGTGGTAAAAGTTATTATAATTACTATACTTTGGCCGTTTGGATAGCTTCTCAAAAAAATATTTTTTATATCTTACTTATTTTAAAAGTACTTTTTACAAAAATAAAGTTATTTAAATTTTTAAAAAAATATTTTGATTTTAAAAAAAATATTTGACTTTTGATTTCTATTTTTTTAAGAAGATAAAATTTTCAGCTTAAAAAAAAAAAAGAGCAAGTTTTTTACTTTTTTTTTGTGACTTTTACTTTTTTTTTTTTTTAGAAATTTACCAATCGGTTCATTGCTTCGCAACTAATTTGATTCGGGACGGGTCCAGGATTAAGGCTTTAAACCTCTCCTAAAGGTGATACTGAGGAGATTCGAACACATGCTCTCACCCCACTTGCTTAGCTCCAATGCGCTAACTGAGCTACCACTATTTGGTGACTTCTACTTTTTTTAAAAGCAGATATCTAAACAGACTTTATAGTAGAAATACTTTTGGCTTAAAAAAAGTTCATTCAAATGGGCCCTTAGAAGAAGAAGGAACATAGAGATAATAAATAAAGTTCTCAACATAAATATTATTTCCTTACAAAAAGATGTTATTCTTACATTTTCCTTTTCTTATTCTCTTTAAAGGATAATGTAAAAGATCATATAAGAATAATATTGTTGTATCTTTCAATGATAATTAAGGAAAACAAAAAACAATTCATTTGTTGTGTAATATACCAGCAAGCTAGTTCTTGAATTACACTAATTATATTTATTAATTCGCTTTCTTTGTTATTATCATTATTTGTAAATGCTTGCTAAATATGATTTTGTTATGACGATTTTGTTTTTTTTTTTAATAAAAAAACAAAAATCAAAGAGATCGAATAACTCAAATTTTGCCACATTTTATATTGGTACATGGATTGTTTCCTTATGTCACCTTAATAATTTATGTGTATCATGAAACAAAATATTCCATGTGGTGTAACTTGAGACACGCATCGTCCACCGAGTACCGACCAAAAAATCAGACTCTTAGCACTATGATCCAAAAGCGGGAAAAGAATGAAGGAGATGCAACAAAAAGAAAATTACATTTCCAAAATGCCAAAGAGCAAGTTTTAGATCGATACTAGCACATGGTATTTGTACTTACTTTTTGTTTCGTACAACATAATTTTATATATGTCTTCATATGCCTTTATTTGGACCTCACAAATAACGTCATGACATTCACCCAATGAAGAAACTAGATTCACAAATATATCATATATTGATTGCAGTGTTGAAAAAAAAAATAGTTTCTAGATTAATCTTCTTAAGTGTGTTTAAGTAAATCGTTTAGTCAAGAACAATTCAATTGTTTGGGTTCCACTAAATTATTTCAAAATTTAGAGATCGAATTACTAGCTAGACTACTATAGTTATCTATTTTTTCGAACTAAATTTGAACAAAGAAGGTACGTAAGTTGCACAAGATAATTTTCCATTGGTCAAGTTTTTTAAGACCTTTTGTATTATTTTCTAAGAATAAAAATTTCCGTGAGATGGACAATCGATGAAAAAAGAAAGATAATAACCTAATATACGCATACGAAAAGCAAATGGTTTCATTTCAAAGTATTTCAACTTTTAATTAAGAGCATGTCTATTTGGGATTTTACCCTACATGATGATGATACATGATATTTAATGTAATTGGTATGGCTATGCTTGAAAGAAGCACATATTTTAAAGGTGTTAAATGGAAGCGCGTAAAGGGTTATGAAATCAGCATATAAACCACATGCAACAACTTAGGAGAAGACGAGATAAGCATTTTATAAGATTATTTTTTCCTTCGACCGTTGGTCTTCCACTAAAGAATATCCAGTAACTATCAGAGAGTTATGTCTCACCAACAGCTTTGAAGCTAAGTGATCTCTGCCAAACCCTTTATATCAATGGTGAATTTTTGTTTAATCATGCGGGTAAACAACAATTAATGGTAAAGAAAAAGGAGAAAAAGGATTTAGACTGAGTTTGACACATTGTTGATTTTATTTTTTCTGTGGTATTGAACAAATTGGAAGATGAGTACGTTTGTGTGTGTTGTCAGGTGGCTTCCCCGTTCGGAAATATCTAGACAACTGATTCTAGCTTCCACTTTTATGGGAAAAAGACAATCTAATTAAGCTTAACAGTGCTAAGACATGCATGTCGTAGAGATACTAACGGAAACCTTAAGATCACTACCTAGAAAAGACTAATTGATAAGAAAATAAATATGCATAAATTGGAATGGAAGGAGTGGTCATCCAATTAGTTTAATCTAATAAATACTCCCAATTCCAATATATGATAAAAATAGGTAAATAAAATAGAAGTAACAAGAAAACAGATTAATTCTTCCATGAAATTTCATTAAATATTTATTTATCAACTACATTCGTTAATATATTTTTTTTTTCCAAAGAGAATAACAAGCCCAATTACTGACATCCTAATAATAAGCATTCAACGGGGACAGATTCTTACAACTGTTCAGAAGAACTACTAAAAACAACCTATTCTTAACTGCACTGTTGCATATCGTATTTCGTTTAGTTTTTATGCAACGCACATATAAATATTTTAAAAATTAATATTTGCCCAACAAAAATTTTTCAATTCATTTGTTTGGGAAAATAAAGTGTTAAAATATTTATTTTTTTGTTTCATTATAAAAAATCATATATAGTAAAACTGGTTACAAAAATTTCCCTCACCCCAGGATTTAATAGGAGTGATTTCATAAAAAAGGATATACATTTTTTTTGTGCAAATACTGTTGCTGAAAGTATATTGAAACTTCTCGTAAATTTTTATATGGTAGTTGTGAATGTAGGTCAAAGGCAGCTAAGATCTACTCATTCCGTGGGGACACCGCCATGCCGCTGCATAGCAACAACTGGCTCACTGCATCTTGAACACCTAAATGATGGAGTAGCAATGTGACCAAAAAAAAAAAATGGAGTAGCAGCACATCGTGTCCGAAGAGAGTAGTAACAGTAGCTGCCAGAAAAATAGTCATGCTTAGCACTTCTCCTTTGATGAGAAACTACTGAATTTTGAAACATATATATAAAGGACTTTATGCCACATAAAATAATATCTTTTTCCTATTGACTTAAAAAAACAGTGGGTTCCATTTTATTTTCTTTATTTAGTGAGACCCACTACATGTTGATCTCTATGACTAGAGACATCTTATCTCTTACGATATAAGACTAATAAACCCCATAAATAAAAGTTTTTATTTATCTTATATTACTGGTAATTTTTTATCTCATGTAGGTGATAGAAAAAAGGTGTGAATCCCACCTTATTTTTTTTTCTCTCATCCAGCAATATAGTGGGAACCACTTTTTTTTGTCTCTACAAGCAAAACAAACATTCCACAGTCATAAGTTCAACCCAATGAGCAAAATGTATGTCGACTAACAAAGCTTCATTCAACAAAAATATTAATATGCGAGTGCATATTTAGAGATGCACTTATGCTGACAAGTAAGAGCAACAAAAGGAATGGTTGGAGTAGCCCGGCAAATGGGGCATAGTGTCATCCCCGGCTGAACTTGAAGATTTATCCTTAGAAAATGGCCGAAGGAGATTTCTCAGAGACATCGAGTTAAGAAGAGGAATAAGCAACAACATTATTTCCTGCCATCAGAACACGATACAAGCAACAAAGCATTACAAATTGAGAAATTAAACATGCTCACAATTTCATTTGCCAGCAAATGCGAAAGCAATTATAAAAGATTTCATGCAGCAGTGTTATGTTCAAAATAGAGTACAAACAGCCACATGCTCTACAGACAAACCAGGAGGAATCAACAATCAGCTAGGAAACAGTTTACACAGATAAAAAATGAAACTAAAGCAGAAAAGTAAGGAAAGTTTAAGGATGTTGGGGAGTTTAAAGATGTATTTTGTACACAAAAGTAAGGAAAGTTTTCAGGTCATATATTCCACAAAAGAATGGAACCCTTGTTTCTCTTAACTTTCAATATCACAAAATCTGCATGATTTACATAAAATT